TACACATAACTTCAACGTAAACTGGATTTAATTGGATACTAGTTCATCGGAACTTATTTAATTTAACAGAAGGTTTGCATGAATTGGACCTAAGTAAAATGACTAACGTTCTGTTTCCCATTGCGGGGAACCACAAACATTATTTTTGTTGTATCAACTATTTGTATTTTCCAAAATGACGATAGGTAGTAATTTAAAAATATGCAAGGAACATTTGATTAATATCAGCTTTTAAGACCTTAAGTTCAATTATCTTATCTACCACTTATAGCCAGTCTTATTTGGACTACCTACTACCTAGTCCCAAAAATAACAATCAATCTTCTTTCCTTAATGTTGTTTATTCGAATTTGTGTTTTTAACCATAATAAATTAAACATTTTGTTGCAGAAACAGGTTTAATTGCTATCTTGTCATATGTTCACACTTACTAGCCTATAAGTCATTGAGGATTTAGTGTTAACAGCTTTATCTAACAATAATTCATAGGTCAAAAAATACAGGATAAAAAAATCAATTTTAAAGTAAAAATATGTCCAAAATTTAGGCTAACGACTAGCATATCGTGAATGAATCTAGCAATTCCCGTTACGATGCGATCATTTGACAAATTGATTCTTTATTTTTTTTGTAATTAATTGTAAATAAAAAATAGAAATGTCAAAACGCTATATTTGAACGGTTAGATTTATTTATAGCTTTTGTACGTAATCTCGGAGGCAAGAGCTGTCATGTATTTTTTTTCGATTAAAAATCACTTAACTCATCGGAAAGTGATAGAGGCTCTCGAGACACTTAGTTGAAAGATGACCATTTATACTGGTAACCGTTATGTGATCACGCGTAATACATTTTTGGCGGGCAAACATACGTATGGTACAAGTACAAGTAAAATAAACAACCATTTTATACTTTATCAAAAGTCGCGTTATTATTTTCCATAATTGCAGTAATTTTTCATACGTTTGTTAATATTAATGCTGTCTGCATCTGATATCGTGGAATGCAGTTACCTTTTTAAGGTCAAATCGATATTTCAAACATTATTGTTTGTTAAATATTGGTTATGATGTTAATATGATGGATTTTACAAGCGTTTTGTGACACCTTAACGTTTTTTGTGGTTTGCTACCTGAGTTTTACAAGGATCTACAGAACTTGGGTAAGTGTACATACTATAGATGTAAGTATAGAGATTAATGATACCTACTTGGACAGTTAACTGTACTATTGGAATTAGTTATTTTAGTTTATTAGCCATAATATCCAGCCGGCCCTCATCTAATAATTTCAAGCGTTTCATGTAAAATTTTTACTTTGTAAACTAAGGTTGTAACCTATTTGCAGAAATAAATATAATTTCATTTCATTTCATAATAATCACATCTTTCGTATCACGGGATCAAGCATTTCTCAATGCATGTTTACTTACTTCACGCTCAATGACTTTAGGATATGAGGAGAGTCTCCTTACACCTAAACGTCCTGAAAGAGTTTAAACAATCGTGATAGTAGTTTCTAAACAATATAATTTCAAGCTTGTAACGCTCAGAAGGGCAGAAGCGAGTCTAAATGTAAATCAAGTAGGTACATTTACATAAAAATCTCATTGTCATCTCTTTTGTAATAAGCTTCTTGTTTTTAATTAGGACTTTACAAAACCGAAAAGAGACTCGCACTCAGCACATTTTTACGATCGACTAAAAAGGCATTGATTGCAGGAAAAATAAAATCCAATGATCGAAAAACATGGACAGTCCTACTCCATGCAATAAACAATTAAACAAATCACTACTTCAGCTAACGGTCCTCTCAAAGATATTTGGCAGACTCAAAAATGTAATTGTCAGGTGGAATTCCAAAATTTCTTTCATATAAGGGCCGGTACAACTATATAAAATGAAATGTCCCAAGTCCCGAGTGAAGTAGTTTAATGACTTACGGCGAACACACGCCATTTTGAAATGAACGAGTAGGTAGGTAATTATTAAAAATAATTATTATTCAAGCTCCATATTGATGCCATGGGTCGTCGTTAACTACAGACTAGAATAAAACAATTCGACCGCTATTCAAGTTTAAGAGAAATGTTTTATGAATATTTTCAAGGAGATGTATTTGTTTAACCATGAAAGAGTCAGTGTCTATAATGTCTATTTGTTTTATAAACAAACACAGTTTCATTGGTACCATCTCGCATATAAAGAATATTAGTAATCCTAGATTCGACCGACACCTATTCACAGACCAGCTTAGTAGTTGCACTTGCAATCAAAACCGGGACAGACTTTATGTAATGTTTTTTCACTAATAAATAAATTAGTACCTGTCTAGAAATCTCCCCAGTAAAGTAAGCACCTGCAATGTTTTCTTGTTATTGGTCCTGATATAGGACCAATAGTACCTATAAATTTACTTATTCCAAAATCAATCAAAAGATGGGTATCTAAAAATGAAAGTACACCAACATGTAATAAACACGTGCATTTTTTTTAAAGGGAAAAAATCATCGAATGACTGCTCCCGCCTGGGTGAGGCGGGAAGGGAGTGTCAGACTCTTACTGACTAAGTTGAACCACCCCGTTCCTTCTCCTTCACGTTGAGCCGGAGCCCTGGTAACCCGGTTCTCTGCGAATCCGATGCTTAGCACTTGGTTTTGGTATCGAATTTTATTACATAGTCGACAATACATGTAGGACGAGTTCATACAATAATAGACAACACCTATTGCTTACAAATTCTTTAAAAGAAATACCAATACACATTTTTGCGAAAGTATCATTCTTCGATACTTACTTTCGCAAATGTCTCAATTTCTCGTACCTACCTATATTTTGTGTCAGTAGTCCAAAGGTTGGTTAGACCTTAGACCTATTGTTTACATGAAAAGTAGGTACATATTCGTCATAATGACTCACATCTACTAAACCAGCTGACAATTTCGTCAAAAACATTATGTTTGTGTGTCAGACATGTGTCGTACATAGTAAAACATCGATCAACCTTGACTCGACATTAACCTCTTAATATCGAGGTGAATGAATCGTGTTCCGTTTCTATAACAGTCTATTAAAGGATAGCTAGTAGGTAAGTACGTAGGTACCTATTATTATAGTGGTCCTTAACATTCTTTTGTTTTTGTGACCTTCACCTTGTCGTCAGCGTCACATTGATGGATTAAAATATGTGACAATCGAGAGAATGCTAAACTTTATACGTAGGTATTTAGTGGATAGGACTAGGAGAAATGTCAATGGTCACGAGTAGGTACCTACAACTGCCGAGCATGGGTCATGAAGATTTTTGGTCGTTCGTTACATATTCCTAGAAAAACCTTAAAATTTGTTTTAGAGTGCCTAGTAGGCTAGTAGCCAAGCCACAGATACAACTATATCCCTGTCTACGTATTGCCAGTATGTACATACCTACATAAGCTTTCAATTGTTTTCTTTCATTCCTCGTATGTCACATGTATATATCTACCCACACCATGACATTTGACAACACGATTTACAAACAAAAAAAAAGAGAAGTAAAGATGAAGGTAAACCCAAATTCCCATACCATGTACCACTTGACCTATATACGGTTGTTTATAGCAGCTGCAGTTTTAACGGATGATGCTAAACGGAGCACATAAATTACCATGATAAGGTTCGCCGCGGACTCTTAAAACACGTGTCATTGACCCCGCAGGACAGGACTCGGTCACGATGTATTTAGGTTTCCCAAAACTTGCAAATTTCTTCGGTTTTGTCTCTTTTTGAAATTCGTTGGGGAGTTAGTAACTACCTAGAAAATTCGGTTCATGACCATATCAGCTATAATAAGACGTCTACTGTTGAACACATAGAGCAACACAGGCCACCGGCGGACCGGAGTGTTGCTCTATGGTTGAACATAATGCCTCCTCCGATGACTTCCTGATAGGTCGGTTGGAAGCGACCTGCTTCCAGTAGTTCTCTGCGTCCTTAATCAGTTCGTCTGTCCACCTTGAAACATCAGTTAAAAACTTGGAAATAAAACCTATGACGTTTTAAGCATGTAAAGCAAGCATGTAGTAGGTACCTATAATTATAATGTTAGAAAGGTCATGTATGTAACATATTAAGGATCTTAGGTAGATAGGTATCTAGTTACCTACATACTTGAAGATTATTTAGGATTCATACCTACCTACCCAATGACACTCAGAAGCAAGTCCTGATTTCTGAATTGTACCCACAAATTAAATTATCGTGGTTACCCTAGCTACAGTAATTTTCTGTGTCAACATTATTTTTCGAAGTAATAAATTAATTAACAAATTAATTTGAAGATTTTATTTGTTTTTAAAGATTTAAAAAGATAAAATCGAAGATAAATTAAAACAATAAATGGCTTTGTACTTATACTAGGTAAATAATTTTATTTACTTTGATACTATCAACCAAAACCACGATCACAATAACCTACTTCAACGTCTAAGGGGAATATGTAAATATTCCCCTTAGAGCAGCGAGCAGTTGCGATCTAGGTAGGTAACTATCTAAGATTTTTGGGAATACCCATTCAACATTTTGAGATTGCATTGCAATTGGTGACTTTCGGAATCCGCAATTCGAAACCAAGTCTTTTTACTCTGGAGATGTACACGACCACTGGAATTTCTGATAAAAACCTTATTCTTACAGTTCATAATTTCGTATAAGTTATAATAATACTTAATAAGCACTGGATACCAATACAAACAATTATTATTATAACGTAATAATTTAAATAGTGTGAAAAATCGACTAAAATAATTATATTTTATATGGCAACATTTGACTTTCAATATCTACGCAACCACTACTCTATTCTACGTTTCGATTTCGAATTCCGGTTCCGACGAGACGTCAACGCTAAATTTATCCGATTTTTAGTATTTTTGCTAATTAATTTCCGTCAAAGAATAATATCTACATTCAAGCACATACCCTGTGATCACAGAAAAAAGATTGCAATACATAAATTCAATCATGCCACGCGGTAAGTCTAGCGTATACGTGTTGTTTTTTCTCAATGTCGTCCAATGTTATGAGAATGTGCTTTCATCAGAAATTCTACGTATTTTGTAGCATCTCTGCTACGCAACCAATATTAAAGATGCGATTTCCCATTAACTTAGTCCAATTGGATGTTATTGATTGTTTCGTTGGCCTAACCTTTGTATAATAGTGATTATTTTGTTTGTGTAATGTTACAGGTAAGTTCACGAACCACAAGGGCCGTAACCGCAAGTTCACGAGCCCAGAAGAGCTAGAAGAACAGCGCAAACAAGAAGAACAGAAGCAAAAGTAAGTGGTTTATTAATTATTTCATGATTTTTAATTATTGTCTATGATTCTATTAACGCAATTTGTAGATTTGACACCACAGCTTATGTATGTAGGTAAAGGATAACTTAACTCAGTAAAATAGTTGTTTGATTATTGATTATCATTTCATTTCTCTGATTAAATTGTTGGTGGAACAGACTACCTATGCAAATTAAATAGTCTGCATTGATATTGATTCTATAACATTATAATGAAGTAAAATAGTCTTATTCGTTCCTTCTGGGAATACTTAAGTGTATAATAAGCCTGTTATGAAGAACACATACATAGTTTTCTATTGCCTCTGAATCAATGTTGAGTCATTAGAAATTCTAAGTGTCCATATTATAACTAACACAGATTTGGCTCCTCAAATTGAATTTTTCCTGTGTTGGTTGCACATTTCCTAATAAGAATTTTAAATAGGTACCTACATTTCACACTCAACCATGTTGTGAATCTCATGTATCTGCAAGTCGAGTAACTAATAAATTCCTAATAACGAAATAAATCACTTGTATATCTTTGATTATGAACATGCTGATTTTAAACCAGACAAATCTTGCATTCTATATTTAGTAAACATGAAGTCATCTCCAAATTGTGTGACTCAATATAAATATTAGAGTAAGTTCTGAGAACTCACTAGTACATTTTTTAATGTGGTTCATAGTTCAATATTTTAATTGGTGAATTTATTTAAATTGTCCATGAACTAAGTAAGATTTATGAGTATGAAAGAAAAGTTATTTCCTGGATACCTACATTATATTTTTGCAATTTCGGGGTACTCATAAATTCTCTGTTAGCTTAACCTATCATCTGCGGATATATGAGACACAACAGAAAACTCATTCTGTGTCATACAGATCTGCACTCAAAAGGTTAATAATTATTCTACATTAAGCAAGAGAGGACTTTCTTACATATTATAATTAATTAAATATATTATTGTAATTTCCAGATGGAGAAAAGAACATGGCAAGGAAAGTTCAAGTGAAGAAGAGTCGGAGGAAGAAAAATCTGGTTCCGGAAGCGAAGACGAGAGTGACTCAGATGATGATGTTAGTATATTTTTACACTGCCTTATTATTGTACTATAAAATTTGTATGAATTCAACCTATTGTAACATTGTTCTCTGTCAACTTCGGCCAACAGTGGTAAAATGGCTCTTTAAAACATTGCTGGATAGTACAATTTTCTCTGGTTGTTATAAAAGTGGGCAATCAATAAACTTCTTTCACACGCACCATCATCTGTGTGGATGACATAAATATTAGTTCCATGTAGGATTTTAACCTATTCCCCAGTCCACCGCAGTAAACAAAAACTCGCCACTTGCACACAATGACTCTGCAAATTTGATAATTTTATTTTTAATTTTGTTGTTGAATTAATGTTCTAAATTCTTCTATGGCATATTTCCAGAGACCATCCAAAGCCAAGGGTGTATCAGGCCTCATTGAAGTAGAAAATCCAAACCGTGTAGTGAAGAAAAACAAGAAATTGAACAATTTGGACAATTTAGGCGAAGGAGAGAAACCTCAATTATCAAGGTTGGTAATAAAACATATTTTTTGTAAACAAGGAGTAGACAGATGTGTTGCCTCATTGCTCGAGTGATCTCAAGTGCAACTGCAGAGCAAAAGATCTAGAGTTCCTTTCTTGAGTCGGGAAATGATTTTAGGATTGTTTTAATTTTCGAAAATTCTCCTTAATAGCACGCATCGGGTAATATCCCCGATGTATGACAATAGGGTCACCTCTATTACATGGCACGTAGAACATAACATTATAACATTACATCACGCCTTTTATCCCCGAAGGGGTAAGCAGAGGTGTACATTTTGCCACTGTACAATGTAACACCCACTTTTCACTAATTATGTTATGAGTCCCATCTAATGATGTTATGGGTGTAAACCTATTGCCATATACTGGGCACAATTCCAGACTCCGTGCTACTACTGAGAATTTTTAAAAAACCCGAATCGAACCCGAGACCCCTTGCCCGACAGTCACACATACGACCACTCGGCCAACGAGGCAGTCGCAGGCAACACTTAGAACATAAATCATGATTAGTATGTCTTATTTTGTAATAGCCTGCCTCTTTAGGGATTTAAAGACATTATGTATAGTATGTTTAAAGAGTTTAAATAATAATTTAATCTTATCACACAGGCGTGAACGAGAAGAAATAGAAAAGCAACGTGCAGCGGCGGCGTATCAAAAGTTGCACGCAGAAGGCAAGACCGAGCAAGCGCGAGCTGACCTCGCGCGACTGGCTATTATCCGCCAACAACGAGAGGAGGCTGCCAAACGCAGGGAGGCTGAGAAAAAGGCTAAGGAAGAAACACCCAAGAAAAGGTAAGTTTTTAATATACACAGTTTATGTTTTTTGTACGAAATTATTACTTGTTTTAGAGTGAAATACGTGTCATTTTCGTGAAAAATGTGTTTCGTTATTAAGAGAGTTGTGAAACTAAACGGACATGTATTATTTCCTTTTCATTAGTTCAATATTAATTTTGTTTGTATTGTTATTTTCAGTTTGTAGTTAATAAATAATAATGATAAGGGAACATAATGTCTTAAGTTATGAAGGTTCAGCTAACAGAATCTTGGAATTCCATTGTTTCTTATTAGAATCTTTGAATCTAAATATTCCCACATTGTAGTGTTAAAAAAGTATGTATTACATTTAAGTATCTCTAGTATTTGCTTTGCGAAATATTCAGAATTATATTGAACTTTAACATTTTCACTTCCAGGTAGATTAATGAGGTGACGAGGTGCCGTTTCGCTGTTTCGCTCATAATCTCAGGCTAGGTGGCTTTCCGAATCACTCCTACTGAACATTGTGATCTTTTATCTTATACAAATTTTTGCATTTGGAATTGTCCGTTCATGTATAATGCATAATATGTTTCTCCATCTATGATTTTGCGAAGCTTCCCTAGCTGTGACATACTTTTGTTTGAAATCCCATTGTTTCTTCATTTGACTGAAAGAGAGCTTGGTTCCGCCAAGTCTGGTCACCCAATCTTTAGTCAAAATTTAAAGTTACAAACTGAAAAATAAGTGTGTTAAGCCAATGTGGTGGCTATCTTGTAGTCTTGTTGTTTTTATATATCTAGGTAAATTAAATGTTATATTTACAAGATGTGAGCAGCATTAATTTTAAATGAAATGGTTTATAAGTGTCTACATTATGAATAAAGGGGAAAACACTGCATCAGATGCAGTAAATGTGGTGTTTTATTGATCAGTTTCTGGCATGTATGCATGCAATTGTAAACATATTGATATTTCCTATGCATGCCACCCGAATGTAGACATTTATTTTTAGTAATCATGTATAATTATGCCATAAATACTTAATTCCGTCAATGTTATTTAATTTAACAGCAATATTGATATATGATTCCGTAAACAAAATAATGTCGTAAACTATGAATGTATAAATTTAAATACTTATATAACTTATAATACTTAATGAAATATTGTAATAATGAAAGGTTCAATGTCATCAAAGTTATTTTTAATTCCACCGGAGGATGAGATGCTTTATGAAATTTTCATTGGTATTGGACTAGTCTTTGTAACTGCGCCAACTCCCCAATGATAGAATTTTATCTAGATAATATTTACGAACCACATAAACGATGATAATTTCATAAAGCATTATAATTGTATGAATTTGCTTAGGACTAATTGTTAGATAGTCTCACTAGACAATTTTTATAAAAGCAAATGTGTATCTATATAATAAAAATTGAAAATGACTCTTTATATCTTCGTTTTCTTGTATATTTAAGCTATTCGATATCCTTGCATTATTCAGTCCCTTTCCTGAGTTCCTGACTCTCTTATGTGTCATTATTGCATACTGAAACATTGATTTTTTTTTAATAAACTTTGCCTCACACTTGCATTTTCTCCTGTGCCGTGGGCGCGTTTACAAACATACAAGTTCACATACAAATGACACCCAGACCCGGAACAACAATTTGTGAATCACACAAAGAGTTGTTCCGTGGGGGAATCGAACCCGCGACACGTTGCGTAGCAGCCGGTTTGCCCAGCCACCACACTAACCGTGTTGTCAATTTCTTCTTCCTGCCCATATCCCACTGTAATATTAAAATACCTAACTATATGATTTGTGGAGAGAATATCTGAAAATTCGGTATCACTTCCCTGCTCCGTAAGTAGACAAAGTATGAATGGTGGACTGCTCCTACTTTTTGGCATTGTCTCAATATGATATAGGTAAGTAGTTTGTTTATGGATCTGCGTCATGCGATTCTATAATCGAGATACTAGTCTTCTTTAATTTCAAATTAGCAGGAAAATCTATGTAGGTACACCTGTGTAGATACCTACTTACCTTCATAACAACAGAATTGTTGACGGTAGAAATTGAACTTTTTCCGGGTTACTGCATTAAAAACTGCTACCTCAGCTATATGGAAAAAGCACGTCAATTAATCTACAACTCACTTGGCACGCTTTAACAACAAATTCTTATCAATTTTTCAGTAAAAAGTGCCAAGTGTCTTCATGGTTCACGCATCATTATCCCTGGGGAGGCTAATGGCGCGTCATGTGATACATTTTACATGTATGCGCATATTTACTCGCGACCTCGTCTGACTTACACCTTGTTTATAGCTGTTCTTTCCACTTTTATCTTTTTGTTTTTCGCTCGTATAAGAAGGGTCAATAGCTAAAGTTTTTTGGTATTTGCATTTTTGTGGTGTGGTCAATGTATTTCAAAGTTTTTTTTTTATATGAGACAGGTTTTTGATTTCTGTCGAGTGATGACAGAGGTGGCCGTTAGTGCAACAGCTGTGCACGAGGTCTTAACTTTGGTTCCATTCATAAATTATCTACTTTGTTTTTCTCAATTGTGGGGACTTTATCAACAACTATGTGTGGAATTGTGGCCAGTGAGTGTTCATAAAATGCAAATGGTCCCACCTGTCCTAATTGGTTAAATAGCAAGTAGCTAAAAGTAGTTTTGCTATAAGAATTTAAGTAGGTACACTTGAATCCATAGACAAAAATAAATAACCAACGTGATAATGATTATAATTCCGTGTCGGGGGCGTAACAGAAGATTTATTTTAAACACATACTTACTAAGGACGTTCCTATAATAACATTAAGGTACCTCTGTTCAAGCCCTAATGAATAAAAGTATATTGTAGCCTAGACATGCTGGAGGGCAGATAACAAACTGCTTAAAATACTGACATTTAGTAGATTATTTAGAATATCTAGTCGATGTTGACCCCAATCCAGTTGGGAAAAGGCCAGAAGAAAGACTTGAGTAATATGCGCATACATAAGTTATTTGCGAGACAATATTTCATGTAGAAGGCAAAGACTAAAGTGTAACAAATAATTACGTCATCTAAGATTACATTCTACGCATTTCGATTCTACAAAAGTGAAATTTTAATAATCCTGTGGGCACTTTCAAAAGTATTAGGGAAAAAGAGAGGATTTATTCCAAATTCCTAATTGGACAACATTATATTGCTTAAGGTAAAACATTTCCGTACACAACTTAAAAAAGCGTAGAATTTTCCTGTTCCCAGTGTCCTCTTAATCCCTATCCAAAAACGGATAAAACACACGCACATTATATTAATGGAGTTTTCCCCACAAAACACAACAAAACAATTACCAAGCTATTTGTTATTCACCCATCTCCGCTAGACATTTGTTTATTCAAGCCACTTATACATGCTGTCCAATACCTCAAACCCCAGTATCTAAACCACCCCTAATACCTATCTATCACGCCTTCCCCAAATGGAAAGCTTTCGGGATCGAATTTACGGGAGTACTCCATTACAAAGTGTAAACCCTAACGCGGCCGTAAGATATCGGTTCCTCAATTTTTGTAACACAAGGGTGCAGTCAAATTGCCGGCCGATAAGCGTAGGGGAGCACGTAGGGTTGGACGAAGGTTGATGGAGGTAAACGCGAAAGTAAAACGAAGATAATATCGGCTTCCTATCTATGCATACTTATGTGGAGGTACTCACCAATTTCAAGGCGTATCACTCTCAGCCTTGCTAACCGGGTTTAGTACTTGGACCTTCCTTAACCCCTATAAAGAAGCGTTGTAAAACTGAAGTGACGCCCTGGTTACGAGCCCTCAATGTATTTCCTTCTTGCATTATTAAATTCAGTTGTGTTGACTGTTTATACTTTGGTCTCAAAAACTGTGGACACCTAATCTGCAAGTCAAGTGCGAGTTTCACAAGTTAAATAGAGTTACAGATATAAAGGAAAAGCGTTTACTCGGGTCTTGGACAGTTTTTCGTAGTAGTCTGCATTTGTATTTGAAAATGCTGTGAAAATCTATTGGATTGGATATCATTTAGTATTTTAAACATACCTAGGTACTTGCTATTGCTGCCTTCACATGAAGCTAAATTAATCGACGCCTTTTAATTTAATTGCCCTATTTATTTGGCAGATACAAGGGCTTTATACAAAATACTTACACTCGATATTCATCCAGCGACTAATTGGCGGATCGACAGTTGAAATTGGACAAAATGTTATTACTCTTTTTGGTGCCGGAAGCCGGAACAATCTTTGATTGATGTGATATTTTGTGGAAAAAATGGTATTGTGACAAGATAAATCCATTGTCATATTGTTTTCATACTAGTAGCTAGTATATCTTTAATTCGTAACTCGTTGCGGTTCTTAGTACATACACGACACTGATTTAATAAAAAATAAATATATTTTTCTTAAGGTAATACGAAGTGAACCTGCATTTAGTTGTACTAAACTAGATATTAAGTGAAAAACTAAGTTGAATATCCAGAAAATATAACATTACCTACCTACAGATAAATAAATCGGACAGACTTCATGAAAGAAATATAACACGTAACATTCTCTTTCAATACCGAACAAGCGAGTAAGAAACACATTAACACAAAAAGGGGTTTACTAACTTAACCAAGTTATTCACATAAGTTGCTCGTTGCTCTCAAGCGTGGCCCAACTTATTGTCTGACTGTCTAACATATTACGGGAACGTGCCCGAATATCTAAATGCGTCGGGGGCATCCGTAAAGCAGTAAATTCTCATTACAGGTCTGGCCGCGGTGGGCCATCGAACTATGCTAATTTAACATACTACACCTCCCAGTCGGCACAGTTCGACTGAACGGGAGTTGGAGTGCCGTGAAACGTTATCTACTACATGAAAATGTTTTTTCAGTTTGTTATTTAATTCTGAGATACAAATTAGTGTTTAAGTGGATCTGCTTGTCTGTCTTTTTTGTTGCAGCTTATGATTTTTGGGTCTAATACCTAATGGTTTGTTTTTGATAG